TTATTTAATTATAAAAATGAAAAAAAAAATACGATTTATTTTAATTTGACTAACTTTTTTGTCATATTGTTAAATATATATACAGGGTGAATTTTATATCGTGAACCAGTTAATCTCGGAGAGCATTAGGAATTTTAAAATATTTTTTTTTTTAATTTTCTAAGTTTTACTATTTTACACTGTGTTAAAATTTTGATAATTTTAACTTCCTCCCTTATTTAATAAAACACTATCAACTTTCGATTTTCAAATGGCAATACCTATTTTCGATAACGAAAATTTATGAAAATACTGAAAAAAAATAATTTTAACATTTACAGAATTTAATTTCAGTAATCCGTTTGCGACTTACTACCGTTTAAATATTCGTTCAATTTACTGCTACTGGGCAATTTATCAAATCCAACAGTAAAAACCAGAAGTCGAAACGGAATGATATCTCAATTTAACAATATCCATGGAAACGGTCATTATCGATAATAACTCTTAAGTACCTACCTAACAAGATAGATAAACAATACTGTTGAAAAAAAAATGTCTCATCAATACTCACACCAGAACACCGCATGTCAGTGAGTGACTAGCCTGCAGTAGCGCGGCTGAATCGGCTATAAAGTGTAAAAATACCATATAACAATTTACCATCATGGTTACATAATATATCATTGGTTACTGATTCTTGGTATACAGTCTTATCAAGTATTATATTAGTAGATAAACGATAATAAATGCTGGTTAACTGTTTCTGAAAACATCAGGTTATTGGTTAATCGTTAATGTTAGTTTTCCATTATCCAACATCGAATACAAATTATTAATTAATTATTATTCTTTGAATGTATAACCACATAATACGTTTTAAGTAAATACTAAATTATGTATATTATTTAAAATATAAATTTAAGGTTTAAACCAATTATTTCAATGCATAATATATTTTTCGATATTGTCTTAGTGTTGTATTTTGGTTAAACAATTTGAATAGAATTAAAAATATACTTTTATCCAATCAGCAATATGTATTATTATGTATATGGCAATTAGATTTCACACTTTGCCGACAACTTTTTTTATATAATTTATTGGTATGTTCAATCTAAAATTAATAAATAATTTTTTTTTATTATTAAATGATTTATGTATTATATTATTGAAAAATAATAATAATGGTTCAAATTTTTTAATTCTATTTCAGTGGAAATTCGTATTATTGGTGTAAATAATCAAAAATAACAGTGAACTATATGACTAGACAACTCAATTTGACTAGCAATTACTACATATTCACATTGCATGCTATTAGTATATTTTAAACAAACTAAATAATCTATTATGTTAGTATGATTTTTTTTATAAAATAAATAATTTGATGTTTATCATGAATTTTGTTCATTTCTTAGGAAATTAATTTGATTTTTTTCAAATTTCAATTGCATTTAGTAGTACTAACTTTTAATTCAAATATCTATAGCAAGATTGGATGAACAAATACAAATTGATATTTTGGTTAGTCTCAGCATAGTACATCTTACCTGATAATTTAATAAGTATGTATTCATTTTATTTTGTATGAAATACATCAATTCTATAAATAATTTAATGTTTTTTTTTTTTAGTTGCATTCTGATAAAAAAAACAGTACAGCATTAAGACCATCTAACTATTTCTACAATTGTAAATTTTGATGATCACATTAATAGTTAGGTAATCTTAATTGTAAGTTTGAATAATTAGGTTAAATTATTGGTACATAACATAAGTAGGGCTATGGAGTTTTCATTAACCTAAATTGGCAAATTACAATTTTTTTTTTTAATATGAGTATCATTTTCATGATTTTTATATCATAAAATATTAATTAAAAATTAATAAATTTCGAAAATAAGTGTAAAAATAAATAATTTGTTTAAAACATCTATAGCCTTAAAAATATGTTGTACCCTAGAGTAGATAATGTAAAGTGTGTTCAATGTTCATTTAATTTTTATTAATTTATCTAGGGTAGTGGACATGTTAAGTGTTAATATTTTTTTTTATTTTTTTATTTATTACCTTACCCAAATCCTGCAAAAATGTACACTACGGAAATTTGTTCATGTTCTAGTAAAATTATTGTTAACTAATGTGTTTATTGCCTTTGATAATTTAGTATTGAATTAATTTCCATTATTTGGTCTATTCACCCACAAGATAGTTTTAATATAAAATGCATATCATACACTATATAAAAAATATATCCCCGAATACCTTATAATTATAAACGGAAAGTCGGGTAGGCACGATGTACAACGGTATATAGGCCTATAACTCTGTATCAGATTAAAAATACAGGACTCACTTCCTTTATACACAAAATATTGTAATATCAGTTTGATGTAGGTTATTTGTCAATGTCACTTAATTTATGTAATCAAAATAACTTACCTATTTTATTATTTTTTTTTTTTAGTATACATAAATTGATTTGTAATTATTTATTTTTAATGAAAAGAAAACCTTAAATGGCAGGGGCATTGTAAAAATGTATAGTTAAAAAAAAATAAAAGAAATGTGTGAATAGATCTTTAACTACTTTGGTCTCAGCTCTATACACCGAATCCTAGTATATATTATGTCATATACATATATACCTGCATATTTATGTATTATTTTTCTAAATACATAGGAATTGTTGATTTACTTTGTTTGAAACAGGGACTGAGACCTTAATGGTTTTAACGGTTTAGGAAGGGGCTTGGGTTTTTAAAATATTTTTTTAAGGGTTTAGGTTAAATTTCGGGATTTTAAGAGTTTTAAAATTTAGGTTCCGCTTCCAACCGGTTTCTAACCATTATTTTTGTTCATTATTTTTTCAAACTAGAAATTTTAATACAAGAATATATTTTGGATATTATTTTTTTAGAATTTGCAGGCGCTGATTAAAGTGTTCATATTAATGTTAATTTTAACCTCGAGTATAGAAAAATAAAAGAGTTTCTCATGTGCTTTGATAACAGATGTGTTAATCTGGGTACATATTTTTATTTCTGTATCTTTAACCAGCATCTCCTCATATATATCCTGGTGGGAACTCAGGTACCTTTTCAAATTTGTTCCATGCTTTCCCTTTTAAAATTATAGGTACATATTTATAAATATTTATAAAATATCTGATTACCTAGCTATATCAATTAGATTTTCAAAATATAAATATTTAAGAAATACAATATACAAACTAAATTCATCAAAATAAATATTATTTAAACTTTTCATAAGTAATCTACTACAAAGCTACACGTACAGATGAAGAACAATTACTGGTAAAATCATAGATACTATTTTTTATTTTGTGGATAATCACATAATATTCACATTGAGTATTTTTAACATAATAGCGAGTAGGACCTGAATAAATTACTCAAGGCTCCACTATTATAGTGGATGGTATAGATAAACTATAAAGATAATGTCGTCTTGTCTATTTACTTGAATATTACATAGTTACCTACCATTTTATTACTATATTATTTTAATTTTTTTGTCAATGATTTTAAACTTAAATTAATATTAAAGGAAACAATAATATGTAACTATTTATTTTTATTTTTTCCATTGCAACTTATACAAACTGACTCGTTAGATTTCTTATCGTAAACAAAATATTTATAAACACATGACACGGTATGATGACCCATAATTTTATTTCGATACTTTTTAACTTATAAAGGTAGATCGCGTGTTCATGCGTCGGCGACTGAATAGCAAATATGGCAAATTTACTACTGAGCACCGATATTCGATAATAACTAATAACGATAATACGATATGCGTTTGTACTGTGTTTGACGTGTAGATATGTAATAAAAATAAACACTTCAAAAACCCAGTGTAATTTTTGTAATTGTAAAAATAACTTATGTGACCGCAAAATAATCCGTTATCGACATTATCGTGTAACGTATACATTAGGGTGGTCCTTAATTTTACACTTACAAATTTTTTATCGAGCACCCTTCCATTTTGTTCATTAGTATAAGAAAATAATTTAAGTTAAATTTGGTGATGATATCTCACCCCCTTCACGTGCCGCAGAAGGGTTGAAAAAATGACTGATGAGGGTAGATTTTCTGTTTTTTGAATTCAAACCGAAAAATATTAAGCCCACATAAAAATAAATAGAAACTTAATTGTAGAACTTTTTATTACCTATAAAAAGTGTTCTTACAAAATTTCTTGTAAATCCTTCATTTTCCTATAATTTGTTAAATAATCAGATTTTATATTTATTTGGAAAATTTGATTTTCCTATGATTATTCTAATATATTTGACGTATGGTTTAAAATACGACAAAGTTGTTTGTATAAAAAAATGTTTAAAATATAATTTTCTAAAAATAAAGTTATAGTTTAAATTTGCATTATACCAATAATTTTGTTATTACAGTAGGATTTATGAAATATTTTATTAAATAATTCTTCTACCACCACGGAGAACCAAATACAACATAATTATTATTTTATTTTATTAATTAGTAAAAGATTATTTCATAGTAAGGTTTAATAAATCAAACAAGTTATTTTATACCTTAATATTTATTGTATAATAATTTTTCAAAACTATTTTTAAGTTGAGATAAGACAGCACATATTCTTTCAATTATACGGTATAATTATAGTTGTTATTATTGTTATTCATTATTGTTGAGTATTAGATTAGATTAGATTATTTATTGTGATTTATAATCGCAGAATTGTAACCATCATGTCACATTTGTGTTCACTGTGTATTTGTCTTTCTGTTCGTGTCTATAGTAAAATCATGCCTCGTCAAAAAATATTTATTGTCAGTGTTATGAAAAATCAAATACTTGGTAGTAAATTACCATCTAATAAAGATGTTTTAAGTGTTTTATTTTTTAATATGCGAATGGTAAACTTAACGCTACAAGGTAGTATTTCCTTAGTTATTGATGAATGTTTAATCTTTTGGAAAAAAAGCCCGAATACCAACTCGAGATCGATGTCACTACTTAAAACAACTGAGAAAACCTTATGAAGAATTGCGAAACCTCGAAAAATGTAAAAATAGAAATAGTGAGTTATGTAGACAAAGAGAGCATAAATTTGAAGAAAATTTAAATGATTTATTTGATATTGCGCATGCATCTGCTTTGAATATAATAAAAATAAATGAAGATAAAGAATTTTTGATTTTACAACGACAAAAAGGACGTCCTGGGTGTATGCTTGGTACAGACGTAAAATTAGCCGGGATTGAAAAACGAAAACATAATCGTGAAAAAAAAATACATTGAATTACAAGAAAAACCGTGTTCATCGAAATCTGAAGAAGTTATGTCAAATTAAATTAATTTTATAATTTATTTAATATAGTTAAAATTATACTTATTGTTTTATTTTTGATTTCAGTTGAATTTAATTCCACATCCAGTTCGGAAGAAGTAGAAACATTTACAGAGAACAAAAATTCAAGTTCATCAACTTCGTGTGCATTGCAAATGAAAGGGGCACGATTAGAAATATTAACACCTCGACTTTCTGCTGTACTTGATAAATGTAAGATCAGTGATAGAGATGCTGTACATTTATTAACAGCCTGCGTGGAAGCAAGTTCTCTAAATCCGTTAAATTATGTTATAAATCGAACTTCAATTCGGCTATCTCGTCAACGTTTTCGTGAGTTAAATGCTTCTAGAATAAAACAAAATTTTTTCGACTTAAATTTAAAATTTTTAACTATACACTGGGATTCAAAAATTCTTCTCGATATAACTGGTAAGACAAAAGTTGATAGACTTCCTATCATTGCAACAGTTCCTAATACTGAACAACTGCCTGGTGTTCCCGAACTTTCTGCGGGAACCGGTTATGAAGTCTCATCTGCTGTGTACGATTCTCTCGAAGATTGGTCACTTCTTCATAAAGTACAAGCATTTGTATTTGATACGACGGCATCTAATACTGGACGTTTAAATGGTGCTTGTGTTCTTTTAGAACATAAACTTGGTCGTGATATTTTATACTTGGCTTGTAGACATCATGTTTTTTTAAATTATTCTCCAAAGTGTATTCGTTGGGTCTAAGTTTGCTCCATCATCAGGCCCTGACATCCCATTATTTAAAAGATTTAAAAATCAATGGGAAACAATTGATTTAACACAGTTTTCAATTTGGTCCACGAATGTTAAGACTCGTATTATTCTTAATGACTATACATAATGTATATTAATATTCCTTAGAAAATAATATTATATTCTTTGGTCGACGGCCGAATATAACATTGAGTAAATACTGTATAGTATAAATTATTATATGTAATTATTTTTTTCTAAATAATATATCTTTAGTTTAAAGAGTAATTTCTTTCGATTTCAATAGAGAATTGTAAACAGTAAAGAAACCCTTAAAAAAAACCGGTGTTCTTTTGGTAATGTTTATAGGTTTCGGTATTGATTAAGGTATATTAAAAATATAATATACAGGTAACAGTTATTTTCGGTTCTTTAATTTACACTAGGTTTTAGGTTCCGTAACCGGTTCTTTTCGGCCTGGTCTCAGTCTCTGGTTTTAAAATGAAAAAAATGTTATCTGTTTAATATAAACGCTTATTATAGTTATTAAGATACATCATATTGTTTTAAAAAATAAATTTATTTTGTAATTTACTAGTTATAACTCATCAATCTAATATAGTAATATAAATTATGTTAAATAAATATACATGCATTCATAGGTGGTTCTACGGGGTGGCAAACATAAAGTAGACATTAGAGTCTAATGTGAATAATGTGTATAAAAAAAATTGAATAACTACAATTACCAGTCATTCGCCCCTCATGTCTCGTATTTTTTTTGAATATAATACATTGATTTATTTAAAAAAAAAAATGTAATATATAAATAATTAAGAATATAATATATAATATCGATTATGACCGTTATCTATAGAAATTGTTAAATTGAGATATCATTCCGTTTCGACTTCTGGTTTTTACTGTTGCATTTGATAAATTGCCCAGTAGCAGTAAATTGAACGAATATTTAAACGGTTATAAGTCGCAAATGGACAACTGAAATTAAATTCTGTAAATGTTATAATTATTTTTTTCAGTATTTTCATAAATTTTCGTTATTGAAAATAGGTATTACCATTTGAAAATCGAAAGTTGATAGTGCTTTATTAAATAAGGGAGGAAGTTAAAATTATCAAAATTGTAATACAGTGTAAAATAGTAAAACCTAGAAAGTTAAAAAAAAAATAATATTTTAAAATTCCTAATACTTTCCGAGATATTAACTAGTTCACGATAAAAAAATCACCTTGTATATATAAATATACATTTCTCTAAAAAAAAAATAAAAAAAAATCATTACAGTACTACACAACCATGGACCCCCTAAAATCAGCACGCGGGCCATCAATTGAGAACCACTGATGTATACTGCTGTCGAGGACGGTTCTTTGAAATTCTTATTAACTTTCGGTACGTTACGTGAACGATGTACACTTTTGAATCCGTCCACATGGTGGCAAATGTAACGGGACTTTTGTGATCGGTGGACGTGAAACTTTCGAAACGGTAAAATAAGATTGAGAACGTTATTTATGGTAACACGATTGAGAACGCTCGAGTTTTTTTTTTCCAACGTTGCCAAATTTAATCGATCGATAATATGAATACAATAATCTGTTGATTATCGGACTTTTATCTGGATGTTATTAGTAACTTAGATACCAGATACGAGAGAATAATGGTTATGATATGGTTAGGTTTTGCAGTCATCACACAACTTATTCGTGAATATATTTCATAATTTTTTAAGTTCTACATATTTTAAATTTTTTTTATACATATACATACTATACAGGTATTAGATATTATTATAAGTTCTACATATTTTTAATTTTTATTCATACGATATTATTTTTTTTTAAATTATTTTTTCAAAAATATTTATTGTATGTATACTAAATTTTTCAAAAGCCAAATAAATTATATAGCAAACTGTGGCAACGTTGCATATAAATTCTTTCTCAATCCTAACGTTTTTTTGAGTTTTTTTTTGGGTCAACTGTAAGTTCTTTATTAATTTTAAGTGTTCTCAATCGTTCGGCCAAAAAGGTATAACGTTCTCAATCATTCGATAGCCTTTCTCGGTCTCGATTTTATAATTTACTTCTCGTCGATGTGAAAACACCTACGCGACTGGTTTGTATATTTTAATCATCGATTCCTTGCCGATAAGGCTGAAAACTTTGAAATTAATTTGTTTTAATTATTTTGCTATTAGATGGACAATAGTATTGGAAATTTTACTATTGCACTGAACGGATTACACGTAACACCAAAACAACTAGTACAAATAGATGTATATGCAGTATGAATGAAAAAAAAAAAAAATTTAAGATCCAAGAAAACGTTGCTAAGTATTAAAAATAAATGTATGTGCCAAAATTATAAATATTATACATGTGGTACTGATTTAATTCTGTAGCAAAGGGTTATTCATTGTTTTTGGCTTTATTTAAATTAAGTTATTCATCTATTAATATACATTTACATGAAAAAAATATACAATTTTATGTATTCGCAATGAAAATTAAACGTTAAGAGCTTATTAAATGTAATAAAATAAATAATACTATATAAAAATAAATCGTAGATATATTAATACTAAGAATTTATCATAAAGAAATTAATAATACAATGTTTACCGTATACAACTTTTAATGTCGCCTACACTTGTGTGGATGCATGCATAATACACATATTTATTACCGATATACATACGCATACATTATTCAACGAATTATAAGATGTCTATGTTAATGTATATAAACTGAATATTTATTAAATATATAAAGCCATAGCTGGTTTACTAAACGTTTATTTTATTTAGGTTGTTAAAAGCCAAGTGCAATTAGAGGGAAACATAAATCAACCCAAATTGTCATTATGTGATCAAAGGGGGAGTGCCACGCCTTTAAAATGTTCAGATGATATAGAAAGGGTCCTAAACCCAGGTTATTGTTGGCTGTTTTTCAAACATTTAATAATGAATCGGTTGCTGGGAACCGATGCTGAGACAAATTGTACTGATAATGAACCGTGGCTTATTCGATATTTGAAATATTTAATTTTAAACGACCAAAACAAGTCATCGCCGAAAATAAAACGTTACGTGTTGCATCAAGACAAAAAAAATAAAAATATTTGAAATGTGTATCAGATGCCAATAAGAATCAGCTATGTTTGTTAATGTTAAGATTAATGAAGGCCTCTGATTTCGTTATTAAATAGCAAATAGTCGATTTGAATTGGAAGTAATCTTTTAAAAACAAACGAAAACTATTAGAAATATAATGTATTTAATATTAAATTCAAATAAATACAGTATATTAGAAAGTAATACTACAATAATTAGTCATTAGAATTATCTATCTTATTACAATAACAAGAATTATAAATAAGTGCCTACAATATTATTATATTTATATTATGAATAATAATAATACATTTTTAATGGAAAAATCGAGTATAAAGTTCAATATCATTACGGTTAGTTAATTATGGTTTTAGGTTTATATAATAATGATTTATAATTATATTGATATAATCATGCTAGGTGTATTGCTGAAGAAGAACTATATCAAATGTTTTAACTATTGCACAATTATCTATTTATTGTACCTGTACCTTTAAACTATTATCGGAGACAGGTAAAGGTATATGAAATTAAAAAAATATATTTTTTGAAAAATTTTTAATGTAACAAGATGTGTTATGTATTTATTTTGTTAATTGTTAAATAATACTGTTTTTGTAACAAAAACTTAATAATATAATATCGATTTTGGGTGATTAAAACGAATTCAAAAAAGCTCTTCGAATTATTATTTTCTATAATTATTTTGTTTTTTTATAAAAATGTTATATTTAGCTCGCATTAGTTTTACTTATTATTTATAATATTCTGTTTTTTACTTGACTGAATTGTAAGTATATATACATATATATTGGTATATTCATCAAACTTCTAGTTTTACAAGAATAACAAATTTAATTATATACAAGAATACAAACAGTATTTTGTTGTAACACTTTTTTTTTTATTACACCTAGTGTTTCAACGAATGATTCACGTCAGTTTTTTCCAATAAAAAATACCTCTAAAACTTTATTTTTAAAAAAAACACTCAAGTCTTTACGCATATAAAAGGTTTTTCAAAACAAATATATCTGTTTTCCTAAGCTTAAGTAAATCCTATCATAGGGGATCTAACATTTTGCTGATATTAAAATAAACACTAAAATATATATACTTATTTATCATAGATTTTTTTTTTTATACTATTAAAAATTAAAAAAATTACTTTATAGATTTATAATGTTTATATGTTGCATTATATTATTAAATTTAGACCATTTTTCTGAGAAGATATAAACACATTATAATGAGAAATCATCGATAATAACAATTGAAATGTGATAAGTTAATCCAAGTAATTACACTACAATCTAGTATAAGACGATAATATTTAAATAAAATGTTATTTATTTTAAAGAACATGTGGTTTTGTACAATTGATTAATACTAAGAAATATTTAATGCATTTTAAATTAGTAAGTTAAATTAAAATAAAATAATTTATATTCAATTAGGTTAGATCGTATTATACAAGATAAAAACTGAATAATAACAAATATAATAACAATGTCTAAGTTTATGAACTTTAAAATAAAGTTATAATAATTTTCATAAAGGTATTAGTATTGTATCAGTGGCCATGTAAGGTGATCACTAGAAATAAAGTTTGTTTCACTTAGAATCAAAACTAAAATATAATTATTTTTAGTGCTAGGGAATTATAGGAGTTAACATGTTTTAAATAATTATTCAAAACATCTATGTAATATAGAAATTCGTTTCATAGTATTAGCATTTTAAAGTAATCATTTTTATTTTGCATATTTAGCTCTATTTTTTCCTAAAGTGCATATTTGTCTATATTTGTATTTTAAGTACATATTTCATTAAAAAAAAATTTAAACAATACGTTGTTAAAACTATCAAAATTACA